GAAGCTATTGTCTAGCATATATTCACATTTAACAGAGCATTATCAGTCACGTCTTAGCAGTTGTATCTTATCATGCAAAGGGAAAAAGAAATCTAAAATTGGTTAGCTTTGTGATGAAGTCTGGCACCTTATCAGTCTGCAGCTAGTAAGCAGATACCACAACTTGTGGCAGATTGAGTACGCTGAAATAGTCCCCATCATATGCACGGATGTTCTCCTGTTTTGCTCCCAAGCTGTGATTGTGCTTGGCCCCCACCCTCGTAAGATCTTCTCAGCCGGTCTTCTGGAATCATGCAAATTATACCTTCGGCCTTTTAAAAAACACGGACTTCGTTTCCTATTTTGTTCTGTTTTTTCTTTTAGCTGCTTCAAATCCCCTGTGGGTGGAAAGTCAGTCTCAAGTGAAATGTTAGAATAAGCAAGCAAGCAGACAAACGTGTGCATGTGTGTAACCATTTGTGGGTACCTGATTCATCCAGAGAAAATAAAAACAAAAATAAGTAGCAAGAGCAATGCAGCTTGTGGTTCCAAGGCTGCTCCTATCATTGGCATTCAAACTGCCCTGTCAATGATTTGCAAAGCAAAGCAGTTGTTGACTTCTGAGAAACTCCCTAGGGCATGATGGTAGTAGAATTGCTGTATAACCATATGATACTCTTCTCCCCAATTTCAGCTATCTTTATAAATCCATCTAGATAAGCCCCTGGTTGTCCACAGCTCAAGACTTTGCCCAACAACAAAGTCACCCAGACAATTTCCAAGCATTTCTTATTTCATGCCTTTTAAGATGCCAGGACTAACAGCGTGTTAAATCTGGAATACTTAGAGAAATCTCTTTTCTATAGGATCACAAAGTGAAAACAGGGATCTTATTCTAGATCAGCAGAACTTTTCAATGCAGCTGACCCAACCGTACCACACAACACTGGCACATTCTTCTCCACTGCAAGTGCTGCTTGATGTGCCATGAAGGAGTTGTTGGGGGAAAAAAAATTACCGTGCTCTCATACAATTCCTCCTCATCTGCTCAGTTTACCACAAAGATACTGAGCATTGTCAGAATTCATTTTCAGCCTTGGCCTAAATAAGCCAGACTGTCCTCATCAATTCATTATTCACTTGAGTTCACACAGCTTTTTCTTCTTCTTGCATGTTTTCTAGCTACTGCTACTAGAAGGGCTAAAAATAGAAATAGTAACATTTTCTCAGAGATACTTTTATTTCTACGGGGGGTCGCCTGTCTATATACTGCTGTAGATGATAACCGGTTAGGTATTCTTATTGCTAACTGTTGCTTTGCCTTCATTTTCCACTTTAAGGTTTTCTGATCAATACTTGAAAAGGAGGCCTTTGGGAATTGTGTCTAAGCTGATCTGAGCTTTTAAGGGAAATACTATCTATTTAGCTATATTTTACCTATCTATCTATATAGCTAGCTATATTTTAAAAAATAATGTAGAAAGAGACTCTAGAGACTTAAACTTTGTTGCTACTTTGGCTTAGGTTGTGTGCATTGTGTATGTTTACTCTAAAAGAAGTCCTGGATAATTCATTGGAGTTTATTCGAGTTCTTTCATTTGTTTGGACAATTCTCAAACTGAGATGCAATGAAAATATATCATAATATATATTTATGGCATGGTAGATATTCCTAAATTGAATAATGCTTGGATACAAGTCTACGTAGGGAACACCTTCTTGCAGAGTTGCATTTCAGTTTGCCAACCCAATTTCTTTTGAGTGTCTATGAAAAAAGAGAAGGTCTACAGAAGTAACTGCTGAGATAGTTCTCCAACCTTGGTTTAAGAGTATATTTCCATGGCTCTTCAGGCACCTTTAATCCTTTGCTTTTTAAAATCAGAGTGTGAATCCTCATCAGAACTAGAATCCTAGATTGGAAGTGGCCATTTAGGCCAAATCAAGCCACCTGTTTGGTGCAAGAATTCAAATTAAAGCATCTCTGGCAGATAATTCTCTAACGCAGTATTGTCCAAACTTGGCCACTTTAAGATGAGTGGACTTCAACTCCAAGAATCCCCCAGCCAGCATGGGAATTCTG